TATCATGGCCAAGAGTGGCAAAACCATCATCTTAGCTCCCGGACCAAGAAAAAGGCAAAAGCTATAGAGGGAGAGAATTTGTGACACTTGTATCCCCCCAATTCCAACAAAGAATGATTTATTTAAGGTCATTCACAAGATATGAAGTACTGCTAAAAGCCAGTTAATGAAAGGACACTTGGCTTTCCCACTTTTTCCATCTATGTGACCTTAGTTAGAACAGTGGAGACATTGAAGTCAGAAGGCCTGGATTAAACTCATAGATTCTCATTCATTATGTGACCTTGGGAGATCACGTCACTTACTGGAGTCTCAGTTTATCAGATTAGTATTATCTTACACTTTCACTACAAGGTTGTTAAAGATTCTCAGTGAGATAATACATGGAAAGATGAGTTTTAAACAGTAAAGGGCCACACAAATGACTATTATATTATTATTTTATTGATTTTATTACATGATTATAATTATCCATGGTATTATGTTTTTATTGACATAAAGTATAACATAGAGGATAAATGGGAAGCTCTGGAAATAAATTACACGGGTTTGAATCTGAACTCTAGTAATTCTTAGCTGGGTGATCTTGGCTAAGCAACTTAATCTCCCTGTACCCTGGTTTCCTCATTTATAAAGTGGGGATATGACAGAACCTACCTGATAGAGTTGTTATAAGGATTCAATGCATCAGTAGTTGCAATGCACTTAGAAGTGTCCAAGCACTTAGCATTGGCTCACATTACTTTTCTCTTATGTTACTTAGCAAAGCAGGCATTGTCCAAAACATTGAAAATTCTTTTCTTTGGGCAATGAGGATAACAGCCTTCATATGTGTCATAAAGAAGGTTTAAATCTATTCTCTTTTCTGTTTTGAAAGATTGCCAAAACCAGATAGACATATAACATGTAGCAATTCAATTGTTGAGTTGTCAAATAAAGCACCATGAATGAATTTGCTACATACAGGAATTCACAATTATTAGAAAGTAATTGTTTATATTGCTTTTGCCAGCCTATTTTAACTGACAATCTGGCAGAGAAAAGCAAATGGAAGTACAGCCACTGTATAGGATAAAATTCATGGAGAAAATGTGTTTATCTACTTACTGTGGCAGAGTCCAGTGAGTTCATATTCACCAAGCTTTGAGTCAGGGGCCTGATCTCAGAGCAAGATGATGTATGAGCAGAGCTAGACTTCTTTGTGTTCCCAACAGACAAGGACATTGACAATATTCCAGTAATGAAAATTCTGTTTGCCATTACAATGTCAAGGTTAATCATTCATTTCAAGTAAATTTTTAGCCTTCGTTAAATGCATTATGTCCAAGAGTGAATGATGATGTGTATGAATCATAAGGTATGTTTTTTTGTGTTTTGAGAAATCTGCATTTTATAGCAGACACTTGATTTAAATGGCTATTTTAATGACTGAATGGTATTTTCATACTTTACATTATTATCATTTTGAACCTTGCAAGAGCCTAGTTAGTTAGATACTGCTAGTACCATTGTCATTTATCTATTTTGCAGATGTGGTTTAGAAAGGTTGAATAACTTGTCCAGTGGCATACAGCTAGTGGGTACATAAAACAAGAGCCAAATAAGATCATGACATCAGCAACTGTAAGCTTGTTGAGGGCAGGAGGAATGTAGAGGTGTATAGAGTTTCCCTTGGTAACTGACATGGAGCCCTGGATGAAATCTATGCTTAATACAATGTTAAAATGAATACATAAAATACTCCTAATAGTTAGATTTGGGAGTTGGAATACATGGCTTATGAATAAGCAAAAGACAAAAGAGACTTCATGTTTTTTTCCTTTTAAAATATAGAAATTATTAAGACTGTGTTTTCTCCATTTGTCTGGAGGTCAGAAATATAAATATAACTAAATAATTATCCTTTTGATATGTATCTCGTAACTTTCTCCAAAGTAATTAAAACTTCTTCCACTCATGATGTCTTCAGAATTTAAAAAGAAATTTCTTAAGTTTTTCAAAGAAAGATAACATAAAAATCAAAGTATTGGTATCCCTGAGATATATCACCCTTAAAACAACTGGCAGTTTAATCTAAATCACCAGGTATCAGTAGGCTGATTTAATTTCATTCCTGATCCCCAAATGCAAAGATGTTGGAAATGTCCTAGCAAACTTGGAGGAAGATTTATGAGATTTAGTGGCTTGGGTAAGAAGGTGATGGATTTCTGGGCATAAAAATAATTTAAGTATTGCTTCTGAGCCCAATAGCCATGTACTTAGCTCCTGGATAATTTAAATGTCTCTATACTTACCTCTTCTCACCGGGAAAACAGAGTAAATGCTGCTGCTGATGACTTGGGCTAACCAGCTAAAAAACACTCTGACAACAGCAACATGAGTGCAAGGAAAAAAGTGGTCTTTGCTGTCTGATCAAATCCAAAACACCACATTCTTTTACTAGAGATCTAAAGACAGAAATAATGTTGCTTTCAAGAAGCTGGCATTGATTGTTTTTGTTCTCTTCTTCAAATGCCTAACTTGATGTAGTCATGTCAAGACAGGGTGGAGAACTTCAAACAGCAACTGTTACCTGCTTTTTCAACCTTTCTCATCACTTTCTTCTCTCCCATGTCTCTATATTAGTTTCCTTCTGCATCAGAACATCTTCATTTCTCATAAACCTATAGAAAAAAAAATCAGGGACATCAAGATTAAAGAATACATATCCTCTTTCCAGGCCTTTTTGGGGGGTACAGGACTGCAATTCTGGGGAAACATGCCAGATTTTGAGAATCTGAATGTAGTTCTCTCTTCTAGTATAATCTACATTACAAACATATATTAAACTCTCTAACTGTGACACCTGGAAACTTGTTAAGAATTCAGATGATGGGGCTCTACTCATATAGATTTCTGTTTCACGTTTTGAGAGACCATCAGGAATCTGACGCATTTTAAACAAGCATTTCAGTCAGGTGAAGAAACACTGTCATCATTTCTTTATTCATTTGGTATTTTCCAGTTTTCAAAAATGCCTATACATGCATATTGAGTTCTGTGAGGTAGATGAGAATGATGATCCCCATTTTGGGATAAGAAAAAGACTCCAAGTTTAGCAATAATTTCCTCAAGGCCTCATTATATAACTCCCTGTTGCCTAATTCCCTGTGTACTCCCCTTAGCTAACCTTTTTCTATTTGGGTGTTTAATTGCAAAAGCAGGGAGCCCCCCCACCCCCAAGCCAGCCAGTACTATCTGTGCTTGCCTTGCTCAAGAATTAGACAAGTCTTTTGGTGACCAAGGAAGGAAAATAATTTTATTTGTGGAATGTGAACATTTTCCTAATTGATATTGTTACCAAATTGATTTTAATTAATGTCCCTTGCCCCATCCTGATGCACTTTTGAAAGTGTATTCAGCTTCACTTTTGGATAAGAGATGTGAGTGTATATCTTTTTCACCTGTCTTGTTATGTCTTGTTAGAATTCCTCATTCAGCCACACTAAACTGCTGCAGAGGATGTGCACTCTCATGGACAGCTGGGATCCCTCCTTTCCTCAGGGTGTCTTGCCTATTAATCCTTATCCCAGCTGGCTGTCCCATGAGCCACTATCTGCCAGCCTTTGCTTTGCCCAGATGGCATCCTGGAAGGTCCAGGCCTCCAGCCATAGTACGGTTGTTAGACTCAGTACTTGGTCTAACCAACCTCACAGATATCAATTCACTGCCCTGGTGAATCTCAGCTGGGCCTACATGTTTGTGCCCACATCTAGAGAGCTCCTGGGGTCCCTCTGGGTCCTACATCCATTTTCAGTAGCTGCCAGGGCCTGCATTTTCCTTGCCCTTTATTAGGATGCTTCCAACAAACACCTCTCTATGCTTGGAAATCATACATTTAATCCTTTGGCACTACCCTGGATGCTTAGCGAAGTGTCTGTGAGGGAGAGAGATTAAGGATATTTGAAGACATAACTAGGAAAAATTGTTAGTATAACGAATAGCCACTCCCAGACTTTAGCTTGACTGGAAGGTAACTATTCCTTCATACTACATTTTAACTTGGAGGACTCTTCTGCTAAGTTTCTTAAGCATCAGCTATTATTGCAAGCACTTCTGGAGACCTGATTGCACTCCAAAGCTTGTTGTTGACTGCCTTTGCACACGTCACTCCCTCACCCCACCTCCATTCACCCTTTGTGTAGGTTGCTCACTTGGTCCCTCTTTTTAGGGATTGGGCCTGCTTTGCAGCTTTCCAGACAGAACCAAGAAATCTGGGGACCAAGGAGGAGGAAACACTTTTTTCTGTTCCAAAATGAGCTGAAGGTGGAGACCATCATGAGGGCTCAAAAGGCCATTGCTACTTTCTCCAGTGTCCATGTCCTTCCTTCCCAGAGAATTTTACGTGCTGCTCAAGCTTACTGGAGAGAGGATGGACGGCATTCTTTCAGCTCCCCCCTCCCCGAAACCCTTCTTTGTGCACCCACGGTCCTTTAACCTGCCTGTGGTTGTCTCTTTTGTGGGAGGGACAGGACAGAGCAGACCCGAGCTGCAGTTCCCTCAGTCTGCCTCTGAGAATTTTTCATCCAAACCTCAATCACGTAGGATTGCGTAGAGAGGAGAAAAGGGGAGAGACAGAAGACAGAGACGGGGGGAGAGCAGTGACGGGAGGGAGGGATGAAAGAAGGGAGTCTGGGAGCAGAGGGCGCGAGGGAAGAGAGCAGGATCGGAGCGCGCTGCGCTTCCCTGCGCGCCAGGAGCCGGGCCCCACCTGGGCGCTCTTCCGCGGGTCGCCTAGCGGTGCAGGAGAAACCCTGGCTGCCGCCCGCTCTCCGTCCCACCCACCGTCTCGGAGCCTCTCGCCCCTGCCTGGAGTTTCCTGCGGAGCTGGCACTCTAGCCGAGAGAGCCAGTGGGGTGGCGGCGGCGGCGGCTCCCGGGAGCCGGTGCGGTTCGGCGCGCGCAGAGCCTCAGCCCATGAATGGGACTCCGCCCTGAGCGCCCCCTCCCGGGCCCCGGGAGGCGGCGGCTCGGCGGCGGGGGGCGCTCAGCAAGCCCGCGGCTCTGAGCGGCCACCCGCGCAGCAAGTTGGGCGAGTTGGCGTCCGCTCGCACCTGCCTTCTGGCTCTGGTCCCTGAGTCCGCGTTTGGCTCCAAGGGCCCGGGTTGCGCGCTCTGCCGCCTCCCGCCGTCATCCCGGGGGCCTCGGGGCCCCGCCTGCGCCCCCGGCGCCAGACCATGGTGGGCAGCTCCGGCCCCGAGCCGCAGCCGCCGCGAGTCGACGTCGCCCGCAGCCAGCCCCCGCCCCACCCGAGCGGACGCGCGGGTGTTCGCAGCGCGCGGGTCATTTCCTTCCTCCGCCGGGATGGGCGGCGCGGGACTGAGTGATCGGCCTCGCGTCCGGCGGGTAATCCCCATCTGATCTGCTGCCTGAGAGCTGCCGACTGCCGGGGCGCGCGAGCCTGGGGGGCCCGGGCAGCGCGGCGATGACCTGATCCGGAGCCCGCCTGGGCGCCCCCTCCTTCCCTCGCTCCCTCGGAGCCTGAGCGGAGACCGGCTCGGTGCGGCGGCCCCGGGCGGACCATGGCGGGGAGCTCCAGTTAAAGGCGTGTGGGCGCCGAGCTGGAGAGGACACCTTCGGCATCGCTGCCTTCTGAGGGGGCTTATTTAAACTACTGAGTCATTCCAGATTTAGGATTCCCTAAATAATCACCAACTGTGCCCGTCTCGTGCCGGAAAGCAAGCGGAAAGAGAAAGAGCGCCCGCTCTTGGGACCCCGCAGATCGCCTCCCGCGGGTTTCTCCCGAGGGGTGCTTGGCCCTCGAGGATCTCCCTCCCTCCCTCCCTCCCTTCCCCCTCCCTCGCCTCCCGCTCTCTTTGCAGTGCTGCTGGCCGGGAGTCGCGCTCTCCGCCCCTGGAAACCTCTGCCCCCACCCCGCGCCCCTACCCAGACTCCGGGTAACCGCTCCCACTTCGCGCCTCTCGGAATTCCAGAACTCGGGCGGCCGGCCCCCGGAAAACCGCAGCCGGCGCGATGCATGCCGTAGACCTCACCCAGCCGGGACGGACCTCCTAATCTCCAGAACTGCGGGACGCAGGGAGTTAAATTGCTGCCTTCCTTTCCTTCTCTCTTGCGGTTGGTGGCTTGTTTTCTAAAGGAACGTTTTATTCACTTTTTAGTATTTTCTACCGGGGTAGCGCTACCCGCCTCGGTCAGGACTCTGCTTTGTAAACGGGTTTTATATGTATGTATGTGTAGATATACTTTGGACATCTTACAACGCTTGCGCCTCTCCAACAGGGGCACGGCTTGTTATTTTGGACATCCTTCGTTCCCTTCCACTTGGTACCCCGAACGCAGTGTGACTAAACTCCTCCCCACTGCCCCTGGGACGCGGATCCCTTTGGGGTGCAAGTTTGGGGAGCAAACGTCTACTTCGCAGGAAGGCCTGGGACCGCCCCGCCCCCGCTGCCAGAGGTTGGGGAAGTTTACATCTGGATTTTCACACATTTTTGTCGCCACTGCCCAGACTTTGACTAACCTTGTGGGCGCCGGGTTTTCGGTACTGCAGCCTCCTCAAATATTAGCACTGCCTCCCCGCGCCTGTCCTGTCCCTCCTGGCCGCCGAGGTCCTGCCCTCGCCCCGGCGGAGCGCGATCCCGAGAGCGCAGTAGAGCCTGGGGCCTGGGGCCCGCGGTGAGCAGCTATGGCTGCGGCGATAGCCAGCTCCTTGATCCGGCAGAAGCGCCAAGCGAGGGAGTCCAACAGCGACCGGGTGTCGGCCTCCAAGCGCCGCTCCAGCCCCAGCAAAGACGGGCGCTCCCTGTGCGAGAGGCACGTCCTCGGGGTGTTCAGCAAAGTGCGCTTCTGCAGCGGCCGCAAGAGGCCGGTGAGGAGGAGACCAGGTCAGTAGAAGCCCAGAAAGTGGGCTCCCCAGAGGCCGACGCCCTCTCTCCCCTTCCTCAAAGCACCCGAGGACGCCCATAGAAGGCAACCAGGATCCCTTTTTTTCCATTCTGGCCCCTCTTCTCCTTTCCTTTTCAGACATCTCTTTCAACAACCCTATCAGTTAATAGTTTCTTGTCCCATGTTCAGGAAAACACTTTCTACTTAGTTCGATTTAGGGTTTGACTAGGGCGAGAGTTACATGTGTAGATGCACCTAGTCCAAATTAGCCTGTAGAGTCATTGAGGGTAGTGACCACCTCATTCATTCGTTCATTCATTCTCTTTCTTTCTCTCCCTTCATCTCTCTCTCTCCTCTCCATCCATCTATAGTGTAAGAGTACATACACTGCCTACTGAGGACCTAAAGATAAATAAAGTTCTCCCTTGTAATCCGTGATATACACTTAGTAGACACAAGATGAACTTAAATTTGTTCTTTCTAACTCTTCCTCCAGCAACACATGGTATTGCATCTTTCAGACATCCCAATCAATTTCACACCTTTCCACTTTCCCACATGCCCTTTCACTTCCTTTTACTTAGATCTCCTTTTCCTATTCTTCCATTTATTCTCATGGTTTCCAAGGACTCTGCTCATTAACTTTTCTGTCCTATTACTATTCTTTGCACACTCATCTTACTTTTGGAACATTTAGAGAACAAGATAGTTTCCCCAGTTTGGACTCTGGGAGTGTAAAGAAAACATAGGACTCATTAGAGATTTTCATGGCATGATTTCTCTGAAGCTAATTCTCTTCTGAGGGCTTAAACTCAGATGATTGCTTTTTGATATGTTTCTATTTACAAAGGGAAATTGGATACTTTGAGTTTCAGTGTGATGATTCCCAGTTCAAGCCAGGCCAGTGTCTCAGCTTGAGAGAATGAAAACAGGATTGCAGAAAGATCTGTGCATCCTCTGGGTTGATCCTCTGGGTTGTGGCCTCAGGATCATTTGCAATCTGCAGATATTGGACCCTTACTGTTGATAAGTGAAAGGAAATACTGTCTAGAAAGGAAGCCCGCTCTATGTAAACTAGCGACTAGTGCAAACTAGTTGACTAGTTTGTCTCTTTGCCACTCTGGCTGCGGTGTTCTTTTGGTTTCCAGGAATGAGGCACATGGGCTAAGTTCATTGGGGTAAGGAAAACACTTGGGAAGTCTGGGCAAGTGGTGCACACAATTAGTTTAGAAATTTGGGATTAAGCCTTGGAAGAAGCCATCCATTTCATTTTCCCTTGGTTTATCATGACATTGTCCAGTCCATACTAGGCTCATTTTCTTATTCTGTGGTGACGAGAAAGCAGATTTCAGGAGTAAACAAAGATAGTTATGATCTCAAGGTAGGAGCTAATAAAGTCTCTGTTACTTTACATCCAATTAATGTAGCCTGTTCATTTTATAAAGCTAGAATTATGTCAGCAAGGTAAATAATTCATATTGGGGGAAAATAAAATCACTTGTTTTGTTGTGCAGGGATCATTTATTTGGAGGCCTTCTTCTCTGAACTCAGTATGACTGTTATATCTCAGTCTCTGAAGTATCTTCTTGCATTCTACTTGGGGTAATTATATGATTATGTTTTTGAGTTAATCCTACCCAGCCCCCTCAGCTAAAAACGAAGTAATAAGAAAGATGGATGGATTGTATTTGTGAATGCATGAGATAAACTCACCTGATCTGGGTTGATTTGGGGATGAGCAATGGCTTACTTTGCATGGCTTAATTTGCATGACTTAATTTTGCATGGGAAGGAAGGAATACATTGGTTCCTTCCTGTGGCCCTTTCCTTAGTATATCATTAGAAAATAGAGAAATAGAGAGGATTTCTGAGTTTGTGTTTTTCTTCAGTGTTCATGTAATCTTCTTCTCCTTTCTTGTTAGTGTTCATCTTAGCAGGGGACATCCTGACTGGTTATTTCCTTTAGCTAAAGTGTCACAGTGACAATTAGGCAGAGAGATGGCAACACCTGCTAAAACATTCCCAGTGCAAGGGCAACATGCGTGTGTTTGTACACCACAGACTTCAGTTTGTTCTGAAGCTTAGCTTAGAAGAATGGGAGTGTGGTGTGTGGAAAAGCTTTTTGGGAAGATGATAGTGTGCTATTATCCTTACTAACAAAGCCAAATAATTAATCTGTTGATTTGCTGTCAGCAACCATGATTCACATAGCATGGGATGAGCCTATTTATAGAGAGATAGCACCTTCCACATCTCAATTCGAGAGAGGATTCTTTGGCTGGATTGGCAGGAAGTTGCTAAACACCAAAAAGAAGACTATTTGAGGGAATCTGTTTTATAAGCACTTTGATGTTGTGTTCACCTGATATTTGAGCTATTCTTGAAACCACTAGCCTTTCTAAGCCATATCATGGTGAACTACAAACTGAGTCACAAATGGGAAAGTGGTGAAATGGAATAACTTGTTCTGATAAAGAATTTCCACTCTGCATTTCTGTCACTGAAACACAGGTTTTCATTGAACAGACTTTCTAGGAGAGTGAGTCTGAGGCAGTGAGACTAAGCCAAGTATTAGATGGGAAAAGCAATGGTTGTATTTCTGATTTCAGGGCCCATACGTTCAGTATCTCTGCTTTTCTTTTCTGGCATATGTCTGTTGAAAATCTTATAAACACACTGGGGATCCTGAAGTTATGGCAGAGGCTTTAGATTTTAAAATTACCATAACATGGAATAAAAGCATGGGAAGTGGCAGGCCAGGATCTCACATCACACAGTTCCAAGGCCACGGTGCTCATCGGATGCTTTGTGAATACCATCCGTGGAGCACAATGTGATGACACACCCTGGGATTGTGCAGTAAATCCTTACCTTTAGGGATGAGAAATCCTGGAGCCATAGCAAGTTTGTGGTTTAGCTAAGGTTACTCAGCTAGATTGTAGCAAAATTGGGACTAGAACTAGATTCTATTTTTTTTTTTTTTTTGCTTGCCTTTGAAACACAACACAGAAAAAAGTAGTGTGAAGAAGAACTGGATGTCTTCTGTCAAAGGATAGAATTATATATAGGGGTTGGAATTAGTATTATCATCATCATCATCATTATTTTATAGTTGTAACAGAGATATGGTAAAGTAGAAGATGGCTTAGGGTAAAAAAGGCAATTCTAGTTCAGAAATGACCACCCCATAGAGCTAGGATGCATTATTGAAGACCTACAGACAGCACAGGAATAGTTAGTCCCTTAGGCACTGTGTGGGCTGTAGCTGTTTGGATATGAAATTTTGGAGACCCTGTACTGGCAAGTTGGATGAGGTCATTGAACCATGAGCAAGCCTTTAGAACTTTTCTGTTTGTGCAGTTTCTAATGAAGAGGAGGACATTCTTATGGTCATTATTAGAGTCATTGTTTATGTGTGAAATGCCTGTATGAGCCATAGAATATTTGCTTAAATGTTGATACCACTTAATTTGCTGTATTTAGGCTATTAGAACATCCATATGAATTACATGGCTTATTCGTGTGCAACATTTGCTTTCTTTTGAATAGAAACACTTGTACAAATGATTGAATCCAAAATGATATATATTTTGACTCAGAAGTTACTGTAGGTAATGGGTAACATTCATAATCAGAAAGAGAAAGGTGTTGATAGGATTTCTGAATGTCTGAGCAGCTATGAACCTTGGAGGTCATCCACTATCACCCTTTGATTTTTCAAAGAGAGCCTCTCTGAAAAGTACAGAGTAACTAGATAAGCCTAAATCTAGATATTTTAAGTGATTTGGGTTTTTTTTTTAAATTAGTTTTTTACCTAAATTAGTTTCTTCCTTTAAACATTTGAAAAATCATCAATCAGGAAAAATCTCTCACCTGAAAATCTTTAGATACTTTTTATTATTTAAGTATTTGGTTTTATATGCCATTTCTTGTTTTTTTTTAATGATGGTGTATAATTACACTATATGATAAATTTAAAAAGTGATTGTCATTTTACCAAATTTTGTTGATTTTCATCATATTTCAGAATCCTTGTTTCTGATATTATAAAAATTGTGGTTATTCAAAATATTTTAGTATTTTAACTTGTTTTGGTAGATGTATGGTATTTGTATACTCATTAAACATTTTATTATAAAATATATTTTTTTACATAGAGGGAGGAAACATAGGAAATGGAAACTTCGAGAAGAAAGATGACAGTAAAGGTGAAATAATGCTTAATCATGTGATCTATGGAATATACATTATATTTTTATAAATTGAAATAATTTGGTCAACATATTGATCAGAAATAGATTCATATGACAGGTGATAGTTTATGTGTATAGCAAGTACTTTGATTATATTTTCTCTTTTAAAAGTATGAATCATGTCTCAACTACAAAATCAGCCTAATTAAATGATATTTGGCTTGATGTTTGTTAAAAACAAACAAAAAGCCACCAAGCTTTTCTTTTAAGAAACCCACCCTAGGCTTTAAACTGGTATTTTTCATATATTTTTTTAATCATATTTTCTCTACAGCAGTGCATTCTCATAACAAATTTGTTTCCATTGTAAGAACATTTTAAAATAGCAGGTATACTGTGATCTTTTGATTTCTTTCATCTGATAGACATTTCATCAAGCCATAACTAAGGATTAAATCTTTATGGTTTTAATGAAGTTGATATTCTTGAACAGAATTAGAAAAATAATTTGTAGGTAATTAAGCAGTCTTTGTGTTTGAGAAAACAGTAGTTTTAGAGAATCTTTAGAAACTAACTTTATTTCATAAATTTATATTTTTAAAAATACTGGGCTTACTCATATAGCACCACATTTCTTTTATTCTTGGTGAGAGCGTATTTGTGCAGGGATATTACATTGTAGATTTGGTTTGGGAAATTTGTTAATAATGATTAATGTTTTTCTTGTTTCTTCCTTGAGTACATCATCATAATATATATTTGCTATGGACTTTTCCTCCTAGAATTATTATAGATTTTATGAGGAC